AATCAACATTGTGAAAAATCAATCATCTCTTTTTGTGTACAGGCGTAAAGGAAACAATCGATGACAGGTTCACTTTAGTGTGAAACTTTTTCACGCTCCACAAGAGCAAATAAAACAATTTCAGAATAGGAATATTGCAGACTGAATTATACAAAGTACATAAACTCTAACAAAATGACTGTTTATTTTTCCAAATATTAATGAGTTGGTCATATTTTTACAGGACTATGCCACATCAGACACAAATCCCGCAGCAGCAAAACGCCGGTTAGTATTAAATAAATTTGAATATACTTTGTATTGATACTCATTCTCCTCAATATTTGTCCTTGCAAAATCGGAATAGGAAAGTCGTCGTCCCAGGATGGGGCATGTCAGTGACGCACTCAACATTGTTGCAATGTGCAAATAGGCATCACACACATAAAGATGTGACATTCGTGCTGAGCTAACACACCTAGCTTTCCGTCCAGGTACTTGTTTATGTCCAGAGTGCATGCTGTCTTCTTGCATGGTTAAAGCACACTCAGTGTTGACCATGTCTTGTGCTTCTGGGGGCATTCACTTGGGTAGCCCTGAGAAGTTATGCCCAGAGGAATAGCCTGCTGTTGCCTTGTGAAGTATGCAAAAGGGCTCAGATGTCTCCACTTACTCTCTGCAACCTGCAGTGAGAATATTTTTCTTTTTTTTTATATAACTGACAGTGAGACCAGAACTATGTTTCTTGTACTGATTCCATAGCAAAACAAAGCTGTCTCCTGTCACGGCAGCACAGAAAACCTTATTCCACCGCACCACCTCTGCTTGTTGGTTGTGATGTGTACTGGGTGTCACCATTCATCCATAGCTTGATCAACGTTCAGGTTGCAGTGAGTGTAAAATAGCAAATATCTGCAACCATCCCCCCAACCAATGACAAATGGCGTGCAATGATTCACTATTTATTTTATTTTTTTCGTTTTAATACCTCACATGAGAATTATAGTTGGTGAAATCGTATTTTTACCTCAAATTTTAAATTCACCTTAAGTCGCTTTTATTTTCTGACCGCACATACTTCAGAGAATAACTATGACAGTATAGAAATAAATCAGAAGACAGGTGAATGCATATTAAGGAGAGAGGGTTCTCATTGCTTTCTTCCTCTATGTTACTGCTTTCCGGATCCAAAGGAGATTTTCGCATGACAAGCTTTCAGCGATTTGAGGCAAGTACAAGTGACTTGTGGGCAATCACATTTTAAAATTCCATTTTACTGCTCTGTGAATTAATAAAAACGAAAAGATAGATAGATTACTAAATTAATAATTGCACTTCTGTATAAAAAATATAATATTTTTTTAAAAAAATTATAAAAATGTTATTGTCATCATCCCTGAGAATGTAAGCTTGTTGAAGCAGGACCTTCACCAACATATAACACAAAATGGAGAAATAAAGTAAACAGAGTGCCGGTCATGAGTCTGGATACAAGTCAAGGGCTCGTGAGCTGCACCACTGTAACCACCTAATAGGGAGCTCCAATGAGGGGGTAACCCTCCAAAATATGTAGGTAATAGGAGTAGGTGATGTATAGAATCCCACAAGGGGAAACTAACATCAGGAGAGCTCCACTGTATAAGAAATGTGGAATGGGGGCCCTACCTTTAATCAATCCAAGGATAAAAAGGGATATACCAACAAAAAGTATAACTTGAAAAGAGGGAGATCTACTAAACGGTGCCCAGGGGATCCTTTATGTGGAGAACTAAACAGTTCCAGTTCCCCTAGTGTCTGAATGACAGGAAGTTAGTGTAAACGAGGTTAGGGAGAGAGAAAGGGCACAGGGTCCACAGAGAAGAAGGGACCAGGTATTCTGGTCTAAATGCAGATGAAAAGGCTCAAAGAAAAAAAATCTTTCAATTCACCCTAAGAGTTACCTCAACACCGTGGTCTGACCACTAGTTTCTACCTGAACCAACTCTCCCTACTAAAGTTATAAAGAAAGAAAGAAAAAGAAAAACACTCAACTCGCGTTTTGGCGTGTTTGGCGTTTTGAACACGCCGAAACGCGCGTTGAGCGTTTTCTTTTTCTTTAATCACTGCACTTGGTAGCACTTTTTTATTTTTCTTACCACTATGTTTATTGTTTTTTAGGTGTTTCTTTATTTATTTATAACTTTAGTAGGGAGAGTTGGTTCAGGTAGACACTAGCTGTCAGACCACAGTGTCGAGGTAACTCTTAGGGTGAATCGAGAGGTTTTTTTTTTACTTTGAGGCTTTTCATCTGCGTTTAGACCAGATTACCTGGTCCCTTGTACTCTGTGGACCCTGTTCCTTTTCTCTCTCCCTAACCTCGTTTACACTACCCTCCTGTCAGTCGGACACTTGGGGAACTGGAACTTAGATGCTATTTAGTACTCCAGATAATGAATCCCCTGGGCACCGTTTAGTAGATCTCCCTTTTTTGAAGTTATACTTTTTGTTTGCATATCCTTTTTATCCTTCGATTGATTAAAGGTAGGGCCCCCCTTCCTCATTTCTTATACCAGTGGAGCTCTCTTGATGTTAGTTTCCGCTTGTGGGGTTCTATATATCACTTTATCCAGTTTCACCAACATGTGTTCCTAGAACCTATATTATTGCAACTATTTGTTAATTACCTATCGTACAGCGCTGCGGAATGTTTGCTACCAATAAATAATAATAATACTAATAATTTAAGTTTTACTTATTAATTAAACCTTAACCCCTTAAGGACACATGACGGAAATATTCCATCATGATTCCCTTTTATTCCAGAAGTTGTGTCCTTAAGGGGATAATAGTGAAACATATATTAAAGTTGTTTTTATATTCACAGGTAAATGGTATCCCTGAAGAAAGAAAACTCACAGAGGCAATGAATTTATAATGCAAAGACGGACACTATCTGTAATCACTAATTAAATTGTGCAATATTTGTACAGCAGGTTATTTGGCGTGGCTCCTGGCTTATTTAGTCTAAAGACTCATTTTATTTTAATTTCCTTGGAATATTTATCTGCAAATTTTGTATGAAGGGAACTGTATATGTTTTATAATAATAGAAAAGTTATATCATTTATTGGAACATATCCAACTCAGGGATGGGAAACTATAACCCATCCTCCCAGACTGTGTGGGACTACAAATGCCAAACTTCTTTGCATGCCATATAGAAGTAGTCCAATAACATCTTTGGGTGCACAGTTCGGAGCTCTTAATACTGATTGAGAGAGTCTTTTGCTTAAGTAATCCATCTTTTTTTATGATGTTATAAAATGGTAACCATCATGAAATATACAAGGGCCTATTCATTAAACAGGAAGTTATGGCGATTTGCTAAAGGTTTTGCCAATGTAGAATAAAATCCTAACTCATCTGAAGTTTTTTTTGCCAACTCTGGCCTTAATTTTGAAGACTATGACAAAATGCTGGTGTTATCATACTTGTCAACTGTCCCACGTTTAGCAGTCTTAATTTTGGGCCCTAGTACTGCCATTCCAGTTTTTTTTTCACTGAAGTCATTCAAAAAGTATAAGTAGATTCTTTTTAAAAAACATGTATTTATAGTTATTTACAATGAGATTTTTCTCACTTGTGTACCCAGGAGAACATATATAAATACATTATTACACATGTAACAGACATATACAATACAGTTATAGTACTATCCTAACAACCTACTTTCCTACCCTACCCATACCTTTTTATGTCACTATACCCCACACCTGTTCCTGTACGTCCAAATCGTCTGTCAATTACGTGTCTATTAGTCCACCCAATTTACATCACTGCGGAATTTGTTGTCCGCTTTATAAATAATAATAAGTTATAAGTTGCCTCGTGACATCACCACTGGATGTCCGGTGGCCTCAGTGTGCAGAGGATGGTGATTTATACTTACCTGTACCTGTCCCTCGCGGGCACCATCATGCTCTGCCGTCCGATCCTCTTCAGTTGCCAGGAGCCAATGTCAGTGCTGCACTCTGACGAATGCATGATTCTCTACAAAGAGAGACTTTTCCACTTAGCCGTCACTACTCACAGCTTGGAATTGGACATGCTTTGACGAAGTTTGACTCTGCCTTTTTGCCAAGCTTGTGAGGGAGAGGAAAAATACTGAGACAAAGTAGTTCCTAGTATGGTATAGTAGTGTACATATTTTGATTGGGTTGGAATTTCAGTGAAGTTCTACCACAGTCAATGTGAATATTTCATAAAGATTTTATCTTATTAAAAAATAATTTTGGAGGAGAGGAGCAGAGCAACTTTAATAATGAGTGCATAGAATGTTTTTATGACTTTTTATGGACTTCTCTGCCCATACTAGAGAGCTTCAGCTTTACACATGCATAGATTTGGTTTTCATCATATCAGAAAGACACTTGGCAGTGGTGCAAGTTGTGACGTTTTGATGCATCTATTCAAACACATTCTCTTATCCAATCTGCTTCTAACCTGCAAACGCACAAATGAACGCTATACAGCAATAATAAGTGTAGTTAACAGTGGATCAACTACATGAATTAGACAGATATGTTTATATTTATTTTGTAAAAATATTGTGACCCAGAATATTCTGCACAGAAAGACAAATTTCAGACAACCAGCAACACACACTGCATGGCCTAAAAGAAAAGTCGCCACCAAAAAAAAAGGTCAAATACTCTAATATTTTGTAGGACTTTAAGCTTTGATTACAGCATGCATTCGCTGTGGCATTGTTTCGATAAGCTTCTGCAATGTCACAAGATTTATTTCCGTCCAGTGTTGCATTAATTTTTCACCAAGATCTTGTATTGATGATGGGAGAGACCACTGCACAAAGCCTTCTCCAGCACCTCCCAAAGATTCTCAATGTGGTTAAGGTCTGGACTCTGTGGTGGCCAATCCATGTGTGAAAATGAAGTCTCATGCTCCCTGAACCACTCTTTCACAATTTGAGCACGATGAATCCTGGCATTGTCATCTTTGAAAATGCCTGTGCCATCAGGAAAGAAAAAATCCATTGATGGAATAACCTGGTCATTCAGTATATTCAGGTAGTCAGCTGACCTTATTTTTTGGACACATAATGTTGCTGAACCAAGACCTGACCAACTGCAGCTACCCCAGATCATAGCACTGCCCCCACAGGCTTGTACAGTAGGTACTATGCATGATGGGTGCATCCCTTCACCTGCCTCTCTTCTTACCCTGATACGCCCATCACTCTGGAACATGGTAAATCTGGACTCATCAGACCCCATGACCTTCTTCCATTGCTCCAATCTTTATGCTCCCTAGCAAATTGAAGCCTTTATTTCTTATTAGCCTCACTGATCAGTGGTTTTCTTAAAGGAGCACTATAGGGACAGGAACACAAAACATGTATTCCTGACCCTACATGGTTAAAACCACCTTCTAGCTCCCCTGGACCCCTTATGCCTCCCTAAAAATAATAAAACTTACTTGTCTGCAGCTGCATATTTTGTCCCTGTTTCCTTTAGACTTGCCCACTGCCTGCTGACATCAGCAGAAGTGGTAGCCTGATCCAATCACAATACTTCCCCATAGGATTGTTTGAGACTGACAAAGAGGCAGTTCAGGGGCAAAGCCAGCACAATTCAAACACAGCCCTAGCCAATCAGCATCTCCTCAAAGAGATGAATTGAATCAATGAATCTCTATGAGGAAAGTTCAGTGTCTGCATGCAGTGGGAGGAGATACTGAATGTTTGGATTCATTTTAGGCAGCCATGACCCAGGAAGGATCTCTAACAGCCACCTGGACTGGTCAGTGAAGTTATCACTAGTCTGTAATGTAAACACTGCATTTTCTCTGAAAAGATAGTGTTTACAGAAAAAAGCCTAAAGGTAATGATTCTACTCACCAGAACAAATTCAATAAGCTGTTGTTGTTCTGCCGACTATAGTGTCCCTTTAAGGCTATGCAGCTGTTTCGTCCCAATCCCTTGAGTTCCCTTTACATTGTGCGTGTGGAAATGCTCTTACTTTCACTATTAAACATAGCTCTGAGTTCTACTGTTGTTTTTCTACGATTTGATTTCACCAAACGTTTAAGTGATCGCTGATCATGATTAATCAGACAATGGTTCCCCACTTTCCTTCCAGTTTTTAATAATGCGTTGGACAGTTCTTAACCCATTTTTAGTAGTTTCTGCAATCTCCTTAGATGTTTTCTCTGCTTGATGCATGCCAATGATTTGACCCTTCTCAAACAGACTAACATCTTTTCCGCGGCCACGGGATGTGTCTTTCGACATGGGTGTTTAAAAAACTGAGAAGCTACTCATTACATCATTTGGGGTTAAATAACTTGCCTGCTGAAAGATAATCGCTCATTCAGTAAGTATCCAATAGGAGGCTCTTACCTATTTGCTTAGTTAAATCCAGGTGGCGACTTTTTTTTTTTTGCCAGGCAGTGTATATTTACAGTTTATTTTTTGTATGTGGCAATAATGCTTAATACTTTTGTGTGTGTGTGTGCAATCCAGCCACTGTAAGAAAAATAAAAATATATGTTAATATTTTATACTGTGCGTTAGTAAAGACCAGTTTCCTTTAACTAAATTATGAATTATCATAAATTAAAGGGACCTTAAAGGGACACTATAGTCACCGAAACAAGTGTAGCTTAATGGTAAAAAAAAATGGCCTGCATTTCGGTTTGGACCTCCCTTTTGGGTAGGATTAGTCTAATATGTAAAATGGCCCTAGATCTTTTTGTAATGGCATAAGATAAGCTTAAACCAGCTTGGAATCTTAGCGCGGACCCACCAAAGGGCAAGCTACTTGAGCTGTTGTCCATTCCCAGTACAGTATCTTCGTTGTTTTTTTACTCTCCCCTTCTTTAATTAATTGGCTTCAAGAATAGTCACCTTCGGAAAAATGATTGCTATTTGTCTCATCACCCTAATAAACACTAGTACAATATTTACTGAGCTGAATTAGGCAGCGGAGTTCCATGATGCTTCAGACATACGCATGCACTTGGGCATTTCAGCGATAACTGCCAGGAGACGCTAGAAGGGAATAAATAGTGCAACCAATAACTAACTTTTAGTTACTGTAGCTGTACTGAAATTGGGGAAGTAACTGTTCCCCTTTAAAATTTGCAATTCCCTGGTGAGTTCCTGAAAATTCATGGTTTAATCAATGTTCAGGAGCTGCTGATTGTCATTGGGGATACAAACTTTTTTTGAAAAAAAAAATCTGCAGGAAGATTTTGGGGTGTTTTTCTGCAGTTTATTCTGAAAGTGATGGCATAAGTAAAGACAACTTCCATCAAATATAATTTACCTCAGAATATTGTTAAAGAGACACTATATACACCAAGACAACTTTACCCTAATGAATTGAATTACATTTTCCAAGTTACATTGTATGGCAAAAGCTAAGTCACAAAACTAATACTGTAAATGTTACACAACTGGTGCTGAAAACTGCAAATTATTGCATTGTATGTTTTTCCTACATTTGGAGATTTACTGTGACTCTTAATGTAACCGATCCTGAACAAATAAAAGTAATTTTTCAGCCAGAAATTGACTTGTGCCAAGAAGTCTGCAGAAAGTGTAGAGTACACATATTCAGCAAATTTAGATTGCAATTGGCCCAATACAAACTGAAGTGGCTCCCTCTTTACACCAGAACTTGTGTATACACGATTGCCAAAGTATGCAGCCGTGACTCCGCTATCTTGTATACATGATTTGCATAATTATAAATTAATTTATTGCAAACAAATTTAGTTTGGGAGTTATGCCATTACTAGAGTTCAGAAATGTACAGCTCTGTGAGCGACTGCTCTCTGTATTTAGCCCTCCTTCACTCGGATCTGCAACATTCCGAGAGGAAGGAGAACAGGGATGAGATGGCTGTAGCTCATTTTTTCCTAAGCTGTCTTTCACATAGAGCACAGAGAGTACATGACACCACATCCTCTAGTCAAAACAGCATGGGAGCTGTAGCCAGGGCCTATCTGGGGTGGGTCCAAAGAAGCAAAGAGATTGGTAAGGTATGCAGAGCTTGGCTCTGTCCCCTCAGGTTAGGTCTCCCCCCCCCCCCCCCCACCCCCTCCACACTCATTAGGCTCTGCCTCTTGCAATTGGCACCGGGCATCAGAGTTGGAAGTAAAAGGTTACTACCTAACAAGCTGTTTGTGTCACAGAGTTATTACTCTAACTTTACAGGATATGGGAAACCCACAAATAGAGGGTCCAATAAAGATGTATGACTGAGCCTTAGAGTGGCTGAACTTAATGTTATATAAAGATAGAGACAAAGTCAGAAATAGTCAAGGTCAGGATTATAGAAATATGGATATACAAAATAAACAAGCCGGGTCAACTTTCCAGAAATTCTCAAAGTCAATAAACAAGCCAGTTCAGGATACCAGAAATACTCAAAGTCAATATACAAGCCAAGGTCAATAGCTAACATTCATTAGCGACTTACTTTAAGCACTATACTTGTATCAATGTAGAAACCTTGATAGTGTCAGGTATAGCATGGCATGTAATTTATCGCCGGAACCCACTTCCGGGTTCACGGCGCTCAGCCCCGCCCCTTTCTCTGACGCGGTCCCTCCACGATACTTAGGAGGACCGCGCCAGATTCAAAGGGCTGAATTATTCGCACAGGAGCTGCATGAAGATCAGCTGCTCTACTTCTGATCCTACCTGCTCCATTTCTATACCTCGGCTAGTAAACGGATTTCTACCTTCTCCACTTCTCGACCTCGGCTTGTAAACGGATTTCTACCTTCTCCACTCCTAGACCTCGGCTTGTAACTCTGAATTCTACCTTCTCCACTCCCAGACCTCGGCTTGTTAAAACGGACTTTCCCACTCTCCACTCCTAGTTCTCAGCTTGTTGAAACGGACTTCTAATTTCTCCTTCATTGGGTGAATTAACCCTTCCAGTGCCAGAACTGCCTTTAAGTTAAGTAATACTTTTACCAAACAAGTCAATTACTATTATTTATATTACACAGTATCTAAAACTCACTAAAGTGTCACTTTGTCTAATTATTCCTCTTACTCATAAGGGATTGCTACAAAGCCTAATTTTACCTACATGGATATTTAAAGGTACAGTGACCATAGTTTCATACCAATATAAAAGGAGGTGAACCTTATTGTTGTTGCAACCAAGAAATGCTGCAGTTGAGTTCCAATTAAAGAAATATTACAAAATAAGTATTACAGAATAATTCAGCCACTTCAATGGAACCAGCAGATGTTAACTCTCAAGTTTCTGCCCTAACCAATAGAGTGGATACGATTGCTCAAGGGTTACAGGAACTGCAAATTACAAATGAGAGAATATTAACTTATGTTAGAGACATTCAAGGTCATCTTCCTCATGCCGCTCTTCAATCGGCTGGTGATCCTGCTGTCTGTAATCCAGAAAAATTTCATGGAGATAGAACAAAGTACAGAGAGTTTTTGAATTCTTGCAAACTACTAATTGCTTTAAAACCTAGATCTTATCCCACCGAAAGATCCAAAGTCTGTTCAGTGATCTCTTTTTTAAGAGGTGAACCTATGGCATGGGCCCATTCCTTTTTGGAAAATGATGATCCCATATTGGATTCATTGGATGAGTTCTTTGAAGCTATGTCTTTATTATATGAAGATCCTTTTAAACAAACTACTGCTGATTTAACCATCAGAACATTACACCAAAAGAATAGACCTGTTGAAGATTATATTGCAGAATTCAAAAGATGGGCTACAGAAACCCAATGGAATGACATTACTTTACGCAATCAATTCCGTCTCGGATTATCTGAAGCTGTGAAAGATGAACTCTCTCGTACAGAACTTCCTCCTACCTTAAATGCATTGATTCAACTGTCTATCAGTATTGATAGACGTCTAAGAGAAAGAAAAGCTGAAAGGGTTCTTACTAATTCTACCTGGAGAAAACCTTTCACTACTCTAAAACTACCTGAAAAAATTCCTCCACAAACTGAACCTATGGAAGTAGGTATAATAAAAAGTCCTCTTACTTCTGAAGAAAGAATAAGAAGGAGACAACTAAACTTATGTATGTATTGTGCTTCGAATGAACATCTAATTTCCGAATGTCCTCTACTGAAACATTCAAAAGGTGGTAAGCTTCATTCATCTACCTCTATATTGAACGTTTTTCAAAAAGAAAAGCATCTACTTATTTTTCTATATCTCTCATATTACAGTGGGATACAAAAAGAATCGTGACTGAGGCCATCATTGATTC